TTTTTTTAGCTAATGGAATACATCCATTTAGGAATTAAATAAGAAAAATTAGTTCAGTGAAGAGTTCTCTTTTTCCGGCGAATTCATTTTCAAAGCTGTACAATCGTAAATATATATAGTTACTTAACAGGATGATAATAATACTGATAATAAACTTCTGTTAGATATGATGACAGTGAGGTAAAATAAACAAAGGTATTAAAAAAGATTTTTTATTTAACCTCAATGTCACCATGCCTAACAGAAGTTTATTATCAGTATTATTATCATCCTGTTAAGTAACTATATATATTTGCGATTGTACAGCTTTGAAAATGAATTCACTGAGAAGAGAACTCTTCACTGAACTAATCTTTCTTATTTATTTATTTATATAATACAATAGTATGTTTGAAATGTTAAGTTGAAAAAAAAACAAAGATAGTTTCAATTTTAAAAGTTGAAATTTATGAAAATGTTATCATTTTGAAATAAGAAAACTTTGTATTATTGTACATCAACGTTAAGAAGCACATAATTAAAATTAAAATAAATTTCAAGAATGAACAGAAAATTCTTATTATAATTTTTGAGTCTAAATCGGTTACAATATACACATGCTACGTTAGATCTTTAATCTAACTAATATGGAATTGGAAAGAGTGATAGTTGTTGTTATATCCGGTGAAGATTAAATTACAGGTAACTTCCGAGGACTATTCATGGACTAATATTCTATAAATATTCTTATTGTATAACTACTCAACAATTACACTATGTATATTTATATTCCTTTTATGATAAGCTTTATTTTGACCTATAATTTATTATTGTACGATTTACGGTTCTTAAGTTATGTTCAGTTTATTAACTACTGCCTCCCACATTCACAGCCACTTTTTGGGCTTATTTGTGTACAAATATTATTTCCTATTTTATGGTACGTTGCGGTCTGTCTGATTGATATATAAACCAAGTATGCCTGAAATAAACGATTCGATTCATATTACAGAAGCTGGTATCGTGTTCTGGACTCAAGTGGAAGGGTTAGGAGGACATAGGACCAATAACGACGCTAAACTGCTCATACCGGTTGAACGTCATTGGTTTGGCATAGTGCGAAGATTGTGTAAGCCGGATCCTGATTGGTTGATAAGTCGCGTGATAGTAAAGTCAGACATCCAAGGTCATGACAGTTGTTAGAAAGGTTTGGTCCCGAAAACTGTACACACATTATACGTTTATAAATATTTTAACAATCCAGATAAACATATGTGTGTAGAGATCTTGGCAACATGAATAATTAATTTGCATGAAGAGCAAGACTAGTTTGAACAACTTACCTACCAGTTGCATTCAGTCGTGCGATCTCTTCGATGTTTGTAACATATGTCATATTTGTACTCATGCAGTCTATCAATTCTAGATGCGTTTTTTGCGTAATTTCGCGTTCATTTACAATCTGAAACCTATGTAGCAACCCTGATTAACCTTAATAAATCAGATACATAGTATATTTCATTTTTCTGCAACACAAGATTTGTTCTTAGTCAAAACAGCTGACAGATGAATCCCAAGTACGGACCGGAGTCAGACAAGGCTGTCTACTCTCTCCCTTCCTCTTTCTTCTGCTGGTCGACAGGATTATGAAGACCTCGACATCTGAGGGAAAACATGGAATACAATAAAAAACTTAGAACCAATTTGACGATTTGGACTTCGCAGATGACCTTGCCCTCCTATCTCATACACACGAACAAATGCAGATGAAGACAACTCGTGTAGCAGCAACCTCGGCATCGGGAGGCCTCAACATACACAAGGGGAAACCAACGTCCTCAAATACAACACAGAGAACAGCAATCCAATCACTCTTGATGTCGAAACTCTGGAAGATGTAGTATCGTTCACATACACATCGATGAACAAGGAGGTTCAGATGCATACGCAAGTGTGAGGATTGGCTGGCAAAGCAAGGACCGCATTCCTACAATTGAAGAACATATGGAACTCAAAACAACAGTCAATCAATATGGAAGTGAGGATCTTCAATACGAACGTCAAATCAGTCAGTCCTGTTGTACGGAGCTGAAACTTGGAGAACTACTAATAGAATCACCAAAAATGTACAAGTATTTATCAACAATTAACTACATGAGATGCTCGATATCCATTGGCCGGATACCATCAGTAGCAGCATTCTGTGGGAGAGAATGAACCAGCTTCCAGCTGAAGAGGAAATTAGGAAAAGACTCTGGAAGTGGATAGAATATGCATTACGTAAATCATCAAACTGCATGACGAGGCAAGCTCTAACTTGGAATCCTGAATGGAAGCGGAAAAGTGAAAATCCGAAGAACACATTACGTCGGGAAATAGAATCGGATATGAAAAGAATGAATAACAATTAGAATGAGCTGGAAAGGATTGCCCAGGACAGGGTTGGATGGCGAATGCTGATGAGCGGCCTATGCTCCTCCGCGAGAAGTTACAGACGTAAGTAAGTAAAACCGTTTATTGTGCTCCGTAAACTTATTAGTTATTTAGAATTAATAGAACTGACCATCACTAATAATTAATGAACAACCCAATGATATCATAATATTCTGTCAACGTCTGTCGTTTATAATATACAAAGTCTTAGTAAATGATGTGGGACATGACAAATGGTGATTGATGTTACGACCACACATCTCACTGAAAAATCAATGTACTTTATATAAGGTCCTATGGGGCATATAATGTGTATTATGAAGTCATAGCAGTTAACAAAATCTTTCTTATTGCTCTAAAGTCGTTAATTGTTCAAATGATTTGTCTTTATCAGATAATAAAAAGGCTAGAGTTGAATAGATAAATTAATGTTGTGTAAGAAAAAGTACTTAGTTAGTTAGAAGATTTGTTTAGTTTATTCACTGCAAATATTAAATTCATCAGCGGAGACATTCTGAACACAAAAGATCCCTGAAAAGCCAGTTCTTTTGATGATATCATGCGCCCACAGTCCAGTACGAAATTGAACGCAGAACATACCTGGCTCGAATGGCGAATAATATCGTTGGGCAACTCATTTGGTTTCCAGTTGTCTGTATTTAGTACTTCGTTCGATTCTTACCATTGCTCAACTTCCACTTACAATACAGACACTTTTAATTGGTCTTTCAATCTCCATTAGTACTAATAAATAATGGTTGATACTGAGCAAATACATCATACTCTGATAACATATCATTCTGAATATTGCTAGACTGTTAAAAAATATATCTTCCCATACGATTAAATTAATCTGTTGATTAGATATTTATGAAAACAGTTAATTGATACACTTCAAAAATTCAAGTACTTCGAAGTTTACTTATCAAAGAATCTAGTTTCAATGAAGGGATTTTTTAATTAATTCATGAAGTCATTTTTCACATATTTTGGATTTTATTTACACCAGAGAAAAATTGTTCATTGATTACAATGTCATTTTATCATAGACTTTTAATAAGCAATGAACACACTGCATGAAAGTGTTGGTCAACAAGTGATAAGGATTAATTTAGACTTTCTTGGTTCACTTACACATAGTAAACAAACCCTCTTTGATGGTGGTCATCTGAGTTGACTTATTTTGGATACATTACGATTTACAGATGTCATATAGTTATTAATATTTATGTGTAGACATATGTGAATATGGGCTATTATCACTAATATGACTGTTTATGACAACGCTTGTTCTTCAATGCTCAATATGATGTACCATGTCAATGTTAGCAAGGATCTTAGTAATCTTTTTCTACAAAATATAAATAAGGCATTTATTAATTTCCATCCCTATGTATTGGTTGTTTGGGTCATCTTATTGGTGATTAGGACGGATCAATTACAGTCCTAAACATCATTGGGAAGATCAAAACAACCAATATATAGGGATGAAAATTAAAATTTAGCAAATTGCATAGGTTAATGGCTGTCCAAACTCAGTGGCTAAGTGGATAACGTGATGGCGTTTGACGCGAAAGGCAGTGGGTTCGAGTCTCGGAGTGGATATCAGCTCGGATGCTGTCACTGTATGAAGGTACATAGGGGCACCGAATACATATATGCCACACAAGTCACTTGATTTGTGTGTGGGCTGTGATAAGACCTAGGTGCCCAGACCGGAGCAGGTGGTTTTCTTAGGGGGCCACACCCGGAGCCTTCGACTTAAAGGTCTGATTCACAAATGGAGCAATGTCAGGAAATGCAGTCCCATGGTGGCCGGTAACCAACAATTAGGTCGTATGCGATTTGTTCCTTCTGGATCCTAGGGCTCATGTGCACCAATGGTTTGGAACCAGGGCTTTCAAACTCCCCTAGGTGGATCCTGCATATCCACTGACTTGGTTAAAGCGCCGGGTAATCAATCGACAAGTCCCAGATAGGATGTATCGCCCGTCGTTGATTCCACTGCTAGCCACTATTCATCTCTTCTTAGAAGCAGAGATAATTATTTTGTTCATTTTTTACTTAAAAGATAATATGGTTTTGTAGTATTTATGATATATATATAGTCATAAAAGTAGGTTTACTACATGGTTTTTGCTCTTTACTAACTCTTGCTAGCCACTGTAATAGAAATTATTTACAAAGCATAGCCGTCTAATCATATTTTTCTTTTTTCACATGTACATTTATTCTATTTCGGTTGATTAACCAAACTACTCTGTTATTCATAGATCATCTGTTTTAGTTACGATACGATACTGTTAGGGAAAAGAAAATATATATGCTCTTGTGTTTAAATCTATGAAGTATTCTTAGAGTTTGAAATTTATCAGTAGTAAATGAGATATGTTTAGGCCTAAAATTTATTGATTGAAACTTAGTTGTTAAAACTACTTAGATATAACTTTCGAGATGAAGCATAGATAGTTTAAAGACAATTAACTTACTGGAATCACAACAGTATCTCAGAGATGAATCAAATTTTTAATATTCTTACAAGACAGAATAGCTTTGTTTGATAATAGAAAACATCTTATTAACATGTTTGCTGGGTTTTTTTAAATATTTAACATACATATTATAACAGATTGTTGTCATATTGTTGAAATAAATAATTTTTCGAGTACTGAAATTTTGAATATTCAGACCATTTGTACAAACATTATATGTCGGTAAGTTTATCAGAAGATATGACTGAACTATGCTTATTTATTTGTAAATAGCGTGCATTGATATACTCTTTTTCTTCATCTGTTGAATAATGTTCAAAATCTACTTCAACAGACATAGAAAACATTGGTGTACGACATAATAAACATATATGATTCAAGGCTATTTGACATGAACGACAAAAATAAGCATCACATTCTTCACAACGTGTGAAATTCTGTTTAAATTCAACTTTTTTTGATGGATTCCCATCACTACCACAAAATGTACAAATAATGCGTTGAACTCCGAATAACTTAAGAAAATATGCTACACGTGGATTACGGCATAAATATCTTCCAAATCGTGACAAATTTTGTGATCGGTGATTTGAAGCGATATCTATTGTTTTAATTTTGTGTATAATACGATTATATAAGCCACGGTTATTTCTTATATGTATACGAAGCCAGGCTGCACGTCTAGCTGCTGTCTTTGGATAGTACCATATCATGATGACATGTCGTAAACGCATAATATACACCTAAGAAAATAATAATAACAGTTTAATTAAGGTAAAAATCTGTGATGAAAGATTATATTATGCACAAATTCTGCCTTAATTATATCATAAATGCCATTACTAAGGACAGTGACAAATCTGAGAACATGGAGTTCACTCTTTAATAACAAATGATATCTTGCGGAACAGAACTCCCTATTAAAGTACACCGGTTCTCTCTGCCTACTTTATGACAAAACAAGTTATTACCAGGGGTATAAAACTGAGAAACTAGTAATCCGATGCTACGTTTTATTTACTCCTGACTTTGTATGTCAACACCATGACTTGACTTGAACATATCTAGGATTTCTCAATTTTACAAGCACCTGCTAGAGTATTTGTATAATCCGGTTAAAACCTTTACACATCAGGACACGTTGATTCCTAATTTTTATTTGTTCCACTTTAACTAACTTAAGTAGGAATGTAGTTACTAGTACAAGTGAGTTAACATCGCGTATACTGTGTTTTAATGTTAATTTGTTGACATATATTCAGGCTAGACCGTAAATAGTTCAGGAGTGACTTCCCAGATTGTGATTCAAGGTACTCCTGCTTCCGAATCTAAGAACACAGTAGTTCCCTTCAAAGTAAAAGTAAGACTTTCTGATCAGTATCAGCTAGAACGAAACCTAACCTCATGGTTCCTTATATACTACCGGAAGGCACTAAATACCAGACACATAGTCTCTTTTTCTTCGCATGCTTTTAAAAATCAATCATGTCTTAAGAAATGAATCACAATAAAGCAGGAAATCAAGTAAAGAAGCGAATTATGGTAAATAAAACAAGATCCACAGAACGATTAATAAATAAATTGATGTTTTGTCGATCGTTGTATTATATTCAACTCTAGACTTATGTTGACAAAATATCTTACTTATCTTTTACCCTATTTATGAAGACTCCTGAAGAAATGTCTATTATAAAATGAAAATTCAGAATTTTACTGTTTATCTAAACGATTTTATGAATACAAACTTCACACAGAAATAAGCTACAAATCACTAACAAACGAACACCTGATATTTCACAGCAGAATCGTAACACAACCTACAGAATATAACTTCATTAAAATTTAAAGTCACTTATTCTTCTGAAAAATACTGGTTTGAACAGGTCTAATATTGTTACTTAATAGTGTAACTATTAAATATAAATCATTCTAATTAAGCTAATGTGAACTATGAATTTTAAAGGAATATTTTCAGTTACAGTGCCCCTTCGCCATTACAATAAACTCACCACTGTCTTATTCATAAAGGCTTGTGTAAATAAGTTAAATTAAAATTTAACTACTAATTTACAATTGATTGATTACTGGGTGATGATCAGTGTCATGTATGTCAGGCCCTTCTTAGTTCAGATCGAATCCTATCGACCAAGTTGCAATGTGACTACTAGTGTAGGTGACATGACATTGTGTGCACTATGTTGAGATAAGATGATCGTTGGAGGTAGTTGCGACCCAGATAGCTCATTGGTAACGTCTCTGACTATGAAGCTGGGTGATATGGGATCGAATCAGTCAAGGAGCATCAATCCTTTCAACTTTACAGGTACACCTTGCTGACGAGTGTCAAGTAGAACGAAATCAAGGTCCAGAGTTTCCTGTTGACTACCACCGACCACCATCTTATGATGGTACAAAATTAACTTAACTAATATTGTGTTCAAGTGAAAGCAAAGATATGTTTGGATCAAATCTAAACGTACTTCTGTAAATTCTTGAAAACAATGTATCCTTCTAGTTTTTTTTATTTGCATTTACCAATTTACATAAGATTAGGTTTACATCTTCATATGAGAATACCAGTTATCTGTGCTTATCATGACCACTTAGTTCATCACGTTTGCAATTCATAGGCTTATCATGTCCTCTCATATCATTAGTCAGTAATAGCTCCAGACTAGCAGTGGAATCAACAATAAGTGTTTCTATCTATTTTACACTCATCAAATGAGTGTGAATTGTTATCCATACACCACACTGCTTTAAACTTGATATTAACTTCCTTTAAATGGGTTAAGGTTTATTGCCTATTCACTGTAATTGGATATTCATATATTGAATTTGATGAAAATCAGTGTAAACTTGACTAGACGAAATAAATTTACATTATTTTTCTCAAACCCTTATTTGTGTATCTTTTCAACTGATCAATAAAAATCTGCTCTTCCAGTACAAGATTTGCCTATTTTACTTTAGTAACTGAAAAGCTTGCATTCTGACATTCAGAATATGTTACACTCTCTATGAAGACATTAGAATTGCAAACTAAGTAGATTTTCACAAGGATCTTGACAAATGACTAGTTATTATTCAATGATATGAAATTTTAATTGGTAACAATATTAACCAACCAACTTGAAAATTTGATTTACTAAGGATGATTGGTAATATGAATTAAGTTAATTAATTGTCCCGCGTGGTCTAGCGGCTATGATTCCTGGCTCTCACCCAACAGGCCCGGTTTCGACTCCCGGCGCGGGAGAGTTTCCACATCCAACAACACTCGTCTCTATCTGCCCCCAATTGCCCTGGTATGGCCGAGAGTGGGGAGAGTCCGCTCTCCCTTTCCAAATGCTCTCACATGACCACGCGTATATAGCCTCTGCCAGGGAAGTCCTACTTACTGCCTTCTCGTGGCAGGGGTGTTGTTTATGAAAATGAGAGGACGAAAAGCGAATGTCCGGCGCTTCAACTGGATTCAAAACCAATAGTGCACATGAGCTCCAGTATCCTGAGGGAACAAATGGCGTATGAACCAATTGTTGGTCACCGGCTTCCATGGGACTGCATCTCCTCACGATGCTCTACTGCCTTGTGCATCAGACCTTCAGGTCGAAGGCTTGGGGTGTGGCACCCTAAGAAAACCATCTGCTTCGGTTTGGGCACCCAAGCAGTATCACAGCCCTCACACATATCGAATGAGACTTGTGTGGCGCATATGTATTATAAACTATAAAAAATCAATAAACAACAGATCTATGATTGTTTTATCTGATAATACTGAACAATGAATTGCATCCAAATACTAATTATCTTTTAAATTAAACTTACACAATTTACTCACTTGAAAAACAACACTTAAATATGCTAAACTTAGTAATAAGCAAATAAAAGCATATTTATATAAATCTGGTGGAGTTAATGTTGGTCGACAAAGTGTTACATCTATGTTTAATTCAATATTTTTCAATGGATTCATTAAACTAATCAATGATTGTACAATATTTGCAAATGTTGAATCACCATCAATATATAATTCATTTGTTTCATCTTCATTTATTTGTTCATCATCTTTTCCTGTAATATTTCCAAAATCAGAATAATCATATAAAAATAAAACTGACATAATATTAAAAATTGTATACATTACATAATCAGTTATCATAACTAGAATAATTGAAGTACTCCATGTTAAAAGCATTAAAGAATTAAAAACTGCAGATTGTTTTTCTGATATAGTCCAGCTGAAACTTGATAACTTCTTGTATAATTTCTTTTCTTTACGGATTAATGGAACTGTGGGAACCAAACCTCGTTTGAAGGCTTGTATTTCCTTGAACATAAAAAATTGGTAAACGAAAAAAAGGATTGATTGATGATGTCTGTAAATATATGAAATTTTAAGAACAACTTTCAGTAAGACAATAAATAAAATAACTAATATTGTTCTTCAAAGCTTAGAATGTGTGTTCTCTCACAAATTAGTCAGTTAATACTAACCAGTTCATAACCTCAATCTCTAATCTATAATAAAGTATATTAGTCAATAATTTTCTACATAGGTAATAAAATAAATGATATGGAGTCTTCGTTAACTGTGTGCAATATATGATATAAAGTACCAATATTCAAAGTATATTAAATCATATTTACATTCCAAACTACTATTCGAAGTTTCAGAGATTTACTTTTTCAGTAAAATTATTAATTGATAGTATAATTACTGTTTTTCGGTTAGTTTGTAAATAAGGTTGGATCTATACAGCACAGGATCAACACGTATCACTTACTTGTGAACATCGCAGACTTATTTTTGTCACTACTATTTTAGTCCTTATATGCATTACGAAAAAAAAGTTGGCAAATTAGTAATTACCTGATGATATCTAATTATTTCACCAAGAACATATTCTAGTTCAACCTTGCTATTGCTATTCAAGTTAACAAATCTTTAAATGATGCGATCGACATGAATTACTAACAAATTATCTTTACTAAAGTGTTTACTTCTCATATCCAGATAATACTGTATAACCATGATCAATCTAATATGTGGGGATTTTGGTAGATAGAAGTCTATCTGAAGTTTGTGCTGATGATGTCGTTCAGAAGAACGATGAAAGCTCCACGATTAAACCATCCAGCTCGGAGAACAAAACTCCACCAAAATCATTCACCTGAGCTGCAAATCTTCTCCACCATCTCAATATGTGTGGATATTCTACATTTACTTCAAATACGACCAGGATAGAAGAAAATGATCAATGTCATCAATAAAGCTTTTCTGTGTCGATTGTTCATCATATATCGATTGTGAAGTATCAGGTCGTTGAGTTTGTATTTAGAAACATTGTTAGATTTATCATTATCACAATTTAAAAAACCTTGTCATTCAATCAAATTTATAAAGTTAATCTACAGTTTTTTATAAATTTTAATATTCTAACTTTACATTGTGTCAAGAATATTCATCTTTATCAGCTTTATTTTTAACCGCTTCATTCCTATAAAATAATACATATGTATATCTTGTCAAATAAAGAAACCTAAGTGAAAAATAAGCTGGAAAACTGTCATATCCTAGTGAAGATTAAAGTACAAGTAACTTCTGAGACCTATTAATGGACTAATATTATCTATATATTCTTATTGTATAACTATTCAGTAGCTAGATTATATATATATATATATTCCCCTTATTATAAGCTTCATTTTGACTTACAGATTATTATTATACAATTTACTGCTTTTAAATTATACTCATTTATTTGATTACCGTCTCCCATGTTCACAGTCACTTTTTGGCTTTATTGTGTATGAATGTTATTTCCTATTTTATGGTGTGTTGCGGTCTGTTTGTTTGGTATATAAACCTAATATGTCTGAAATAAATTATTCGCATAGTGGAGGCTGTTGTTGGCATTCTGGACTCAGCTGGATGAGTTAGACGATCTACGGACCAATAGGACGCTAGGCTGATCAGACTGGTCGGACGTCATTAGTTTAGTACAGTATAAGAGCGAATAATTCGTATTTTGATTGGCGAATAGATTACGTGATAACTAGCGGGCCACAAAGACACAACAAAAGCTATATAAGTACATGATGGTAAATTGGTGTAACTAATAAGTTGCATAATATATAGTGATGTATTTGTAAGATACTTATTATTCAATTATATTTACAACTCACTTGTTTAATAAATTCATCAGTTATATATACATTATCATATGAGTCCTTTGACAGCCAACATTTTTTAAATATAATTGCTTGTATAACTAATATCAACATGGTGAATAATGTCCATACTACTAAAATCCAAGCTAAAATCAATTTCACAACATCAATAGCTTGTACAAAATGATCCATTCTTTGTTGAAGTTTATTTGATATATAATGATCATCATTGAAAATAACTTCTATATTACTTAAATTACCATAAAGTGTTAAATTTTTGCTCCCAATCAAATGGATTATTTCATGAAGTTGTTTAGTTAATTCTGTTGTTGTTGTAATATTCAGTGTCTCTTCAAGTACGGCACTTTGTTTTCGGCATAAATCTGTAAATTTTTCTGATGAAACACAAGTATCTTTAGCAAAAAATCTGATAAAACGACATAGACTACTTAAAATTTTAAAACTATTCACACAACTAAAGTAAATATTATTAAAAAAAGCTAAACATTGATTCATTAAAGAAACTTTATCTTCACATGCTATAATTAATGAATGTATCCAACTAGCTTGACTTTCCATTACATTAGTTAATTGTATAATGGAGAAATTAATTTTAAATAATAAGTTTCTTAAGGTATTTAGAATATTGTTAATACCATCAATCATATTTTCTAATTGATCTTTCAATACAATGAATGGTGATTGAGTTAACTTTTTCAATACCATCATATTTGTATTCACTTGTGCTATGATACAAACAATGGAATTGCGAAAATTACCTGAATTATGTAGAAAATTTAAACCAGGTCCATTGAATGACATACCAGTTGCATAGATTAAAATTGCCCAACGTAGACGTGTAGCAATTATATATGGAAATGTTAATAATGTGATACATTGAAAATTTCCAGAGAATGCTAAACCATATACACTTATCAACATGATATAAGCGCTTAATAATGTGGATAAATGTGGATTTCCTGAAAATGTGATCATAAATAAGAAATATGTTATGAATCCTAGGCTTAATCCAAAAATCAAACCTAAAGTATTTTTTACACATATCTTTTCTATGTTCTGTAATGGTCTCCATTTCTGTTTGTGGCATAATGTAATTCGAATAGGATATCTACGACAAAAATTCCAACATAACTGACATAAATAATACAATGGGATTAGTAGGTATGATGGTCTTTGCAATTCATATAAAGCTGCTTTTATTTGTTGTTCATCTAGTTTTATTGACTCAGAATATTTATTTTTGAGGGAATAATCTTGTTTATCTTTTCCACTTCCTTTATATCCCTTTACATGAGTTCGATTTTGACAAGTATTTGATCCATTTTGAGATGCATCGTTCATTCGTCTTGCTCCACGCCAGGTTTCTTCTTCTGTAGGTTGTTCTCTTACCTCCCTATTGTTAACTGTTTCAGAGCTTACTGCTTTTTGATTCATTGTAGTTACTACTTTCAACTTTTCAGCTAATTTTACTTTCTCTTTACAAATAAATCGGTTGGCGTTCTTATCACTCTTTTCATTTGAAACTGCATTATTCGAATTCATACTCAGTGGTATATACTGGCTAATTAAAGGATTTTTTGCGTTCTTTCGCGATTCACGATACCAATTTGAATCAGCCACATTACGCTTGGGAGATATCTTACTGTCTAACTCATTTTTAATTGATATAATGTCACAATCGCTTGAATCTAATTGGTGTTCACAAAGTTTGTCGTTGATTTTCTTCAGTGAAAACATGTTAAGTTGGTTGGCCAAATTACTGAACAACTATGAATATGCATTAAAATATTATCTTAAATTTCCGCATAACAGAGCTATTTAAAATCAGAAAATCAATAATCAGATGTTAATAGAATTTAATTAAACGTTTGAAGTAAACCATTAAATTGATGAGGTGAATTATCAGTCATATTAAAAGGTAGTTCTAGCAAGCAAAAGAGAACAGGCTTTTATGATATAATTTAGAACAGCATAATATATATTGGACGAAGCGTTTCCTGAACATAGTGTGGTGTGTGCCCTTTGATGTCGACAGATATAAGTAGTATGTATCATCAATCAAAAGTGAAATGTCTGGCGAGAGAAGGTTAAGAAGATCAAAGCAAAAGGAACGAGAACAAAGAATGATTGGTGTGGAAACAAAAGAACATGAAGTCTAAGACGATTGACTGATATCTGTAAAAGGAAAAGTCAAGTTCTTATACAATTGATTGACATTTTGCAAATGAAGTGTTTACTGCATGGTTCTCAGCTTTTAGTAAGATGTTCTGTAATTTTGTGCTTAAATATATTCGATTGTTCCCACTTGTATTCTCGCTCACTACAATAGCGAGTGTAGTGAAAGGAAATTTTCAATTGTTAGTTTTTGAAGTTACTTTAATTGTAGAAGGAATTGAGTTTTGGCGGCAAAATCCACAAATTTTTTATAAATTTTAAAATAGTCATTTATATACATTTAGAACTTGTGTAGACTAAAAACACTGGTTCGTCAGTTCAATAGATTCAATGTTCCGACTAAATCGAGAAGTCTGACTTGCTGAGAAACGTTAATCACACATAGCTTTAAGTGAACAGCTACTATAGAAACCACAATAAGATGAAAGAAATGACAAATTGTACGTAAATATCTGGGTTAGAACAAATAACTACTAATGTTACGGTTATTTAAATTTATGATAGGCTACATCAGTTAGACTGATGTGGTATCATTCTGTGGATTATTTATGAGTATTCAGATAGTGCTGGGATGAGAATTTTTCATGGACTGGACTATGGATAATTTTATCTAATACAAATATATCCTTCAATAATATGAATAGATAGTGATACTAAGAGTTCCGTTGTATTTTTTCACGAAATAATTGATTTAATTTGTTCCTGTTGATATCATGTGTTTTTTAGTCTTACTAGGTCATTTAAGGTATTTACTGGTAGCTAGTAAGAAGTCTTGATCCAAGAATTCCTGCTAATTTCCGCCCGTTACCTAACATCTCCATACACAAACGGAGAGCAACTTTTATGAAGCTTAACCTCATTCAAAATGGAACGTTTAGGAAAAATATGAAGATAATTTATTTTATTAGACATTATGAACACGCTCTCCCTTTTTCGTGACCATATAATCTTATAATTCTGGAAAGAAATGAGGTTTCAATCAATATAACTATGACATGAACATATTAAGCCATAACAATAACAGTGGTACCGTATTATGAAACTGTAATTTGTATGAAATATTAGACAACATGTGCACTTTAAGATTTTATTTAATAATGAGTGTTATTTTATCTAATAGCTGTATGACTTAGAAACTCGTAAGTTATTTATATGCATAGGTACTATTCAGCATTTACTGAATAAAACAAAAATTTGGAATAAATTTATAGAACTACTGTATACAAACTGTGAGAAAGTTTCTTTATAAGGTTGCATGCTTGTTAGCTTGTTACTCATTTAACTACTTCAGTAGTTAGCATTTCTTCATTTGTTCTAAAACTGACATCGATTTACAAGAAATATTGATATCCGTCACGTTTAAATCCAAGTGATATGCATAATATAAAGAGAGGGAATTATAGAAGATATCCTTGTCTTCAAGTAATAAACCTTGTTATTCATCTATGCACAATTTGTCGACAACAATTTCAAGCAATAGACAAACTCTTATGTATTTTGAGTGAATGACCCATTATATCTCTTCTCCAAAATTCTTTCTCTTATCCATTTGATTATCATCTACTAGATGTATACTCATTTGTATATTCTTTCTGTCTAAAGAAGCTACCATAGTTAATCAAAGTCAACGTATATTTTAGTCTGACTAAACAATCCTCACTGTAGCACCTATAACAAATTTTCTTAAATTGATTTAAACTACTTATAATTGTATCTAGTAGCAAAATAAATATGTAGACAATTAAGTCAATTTTGTTAATGAATGAATTTATTTCAAACTGATAATAATGAAAATAACGAATTAATAATAGTAATAATAATAATAATAATAATAATAATAATAATAATAATAATAATAAAATTCACTAGCCATTCTGTTCTCTATTTTTTCCAACTTTATCAATATTCATATTAATAATAATAATGACAACAACCGTGATGGTTACTAATATTAATAGTAAGTACCCTGTTCTCCGTTTGAAGTAAGTTAGTTGTGATAGGAAGAAAAAAATAAGACAAACAAACAAACAAAAAAACAAATAAAGAGATAAAAACTAAAAACTTTCTCAAACGAAAATCCTTAAACCAAACAAACAAATAATGAAATTTCATTCTTATTTTCTTAATGTATCATTCAATTCAATCATAATCATTATTGTGTATTATACAATATGTCACTGAATGTTTCATTCTTCTTTTGTGACATAATTCCTCATTAAATTGTTCCATCTCATTACATTTTACTGTTTTTATAGTCAGTTGTTATCGAATATGCCAAAGAAAAATATGTTTATGGAAACACATTACGTAATAATGATATTATCGTTAAAAAAAAGAGATTTTACATAAAATTTCTGGCAGTTATCAAATCATTTCAATTTATGTTTATACTCTGTAATTTATACTAATGATCATACAATCTAACTGAAACCAAACATTATTTGTCTATCAACAACCAATTAGTGTTTAGGTTTGTTTTGTTTTGTTTCTTTTTCAAAAGAACCATTTGATTTGTTTATAAAACACAATAAAAGAATAAGAATAATGAAAGAGACGTTTTCATTTGAAAGAAAAAGAGCAGTAAGTAGTGTTCATAGTAACTGTTGTTATTCAATGGATTATCATTCTTAATAAAAGTTACATATTTGTTCATATTTATGTATATATATTTAATGATTTCTGCCTCATGAAATATCAAATTTTTACTTATGTACAAACACGAAGAGGGAAGGGAAGTAAAGAAAGAGAAAATAAAATAAAAACTTGAGGAGTAAAACATGAAGAGTAAATGACTGTTTATGAATTATGATATTGAAATATAGAAGTAGATTTCGTCAATAAACCTGTTGATGGTGATTTAAAAAATGATAAACTGCTTTTATTGTTGTCGTTACTATTATTATTATTATTATCACAACCGTCATCATCATTTTCTGCGCATGTATCACCGACATTACCAGTTGGGATTGTAGTGTCATATTGTGAATGGTGATGATGATGCTGATGATCATATTGGACTGGATAAATTGATTTAGAATTCAATGACTCTTGTATGCCTAACTCTGTATGTGTATAATTCAGATTGTTCATATCATTGGGAAGATTATAAATTAATTGATGATTAGCACTATGTAAAATTGATAACTGATCAGTATTTGTTTCTTCACTACGATTTAATAAAGCAGAACCTCGTAAACAATGCATAAACTGTTCATTTTCTGATGCCAAATGCCGATGAGAATGTCGATGATGTTGAATATCTTCATCTGATGAACCAGACAATGAATCAATATTTCCATTATCTAGTTGTAATATAGAAGAATTAAAGTTTTTTAATTTATTTGTCCAACTTGAAGGAAATGTAGTATACTGATTTATAGTATTCAAATTATGTGTAAATTGATTAGTTGATATAGGGGTAATATTTGACCATTGGTCAGTTAGGTAACATGGTAATTCTGTTTTCTGTTGTATAGATGGAGACAAACTATCATGTTGCTGTTGATGATGTAATGGAATCGTTGAAAATGATGTAACAGGAGTATCATTTACATCTGATGTAGAAAAATCCATTGAACGATTAAATCCGGAATTTGGCCTTCCAGTTGGATTAGTAATAATATTAGGATATGAATGAGATGTATAATTTAATTGATTCAGATTATTATTATTATTATTACTATTATTATTATTATTATCTTTGCTAGTATGACTGTACCTCAGATTGTTCGAATGTACATCAAATGATAATAAATTATTTGAATTGCTTATATTATTAGATAAATAATTCGAATAATTTTGTGCATGTGATAATAGCATTGATGAATAATTCGGCGGATAACTTGACGATGAATTCATCATCATCATAGGAACTGTTGCATCATTTTGTGATTGTATTCCATAAGAATCATTGTTATTTAATGTGTTTAAATGATCCCTATCATTATTCACAGTATTGTTAGTATTATCATTATTACCATTACTACTACTAGTACTATTATTATTATTACTATCGATTAAATCAGACTTTAATAATCTATTGGCTAATAGATTCATTTTACCATTATTAGATTCTATTGGTAAATTTTGTAGAACAGGATTAAATTCGTGGAAATTACGTTCAGATTTTACATTAATTAAATCATTATTATTATGATTTATTTCATTTCTGAATAAATGATTATCTACTGATGTTTTATTATTGATTGATTTATTAATGACATAATTCTTATCTATTATCCCATTTCTATTATTATTATTATTTTGCTTTTGTTGAACACCATCTACACAGTGATCAATATCTTTCGAGGTAGAACATGTTGATGATGATGACGACGATGATATTGATGACATTAGTAATGGAGTTAAACGTTTAATAATTGTTTCATCCGATTGTTTTGTCGATAAATTTTCATGTACTGAATCATATTTTCCTGGTATTATTTGTGTTAAATCTAAAAATGAGGAAATGAAATAATCCACACAAAAAAATTTTTTAAAGATGAAATTATTCATGAGAGAATATATCTACAATGAAATTTATTAGTGGGGTTTTGTAACTTAAGTTGATG